ATACACTGTAGATAAACGGCCAGTCTCAGACTACAATACAAAACTCGTGGGCATGCACGGATGTAGTGTTAGCTCTCTCAAACTAAAATGAGTGAGGTTTATGGGTAACAACCGAATCACGTTAAGGTTAACCCCATCCACAAGCTTCCTGGTCTTAGAACTCAAAAACTAACAGATATTGTTGTGTCTCCAGATACATCCGAATGTGGTGCAGCGAAAACCACACTTCTTCTGCAAGTGCCAATAAGATTGGACCGCTACAGCGCGCCAGGCTCCAGTGTCTAGGCCACGTGTTGTGCATGTCAGCACACCGACACCCGCGTTGTTCGTTGTTTGCGCACCGGGGGTGTGGATAGAAAAGGAAGGTGGAGGCCAAGCGATGACTTGGTCGAGAGGAATGAAAACTCTCACCTCGAAATTGGCGTCAGTTAGTGTCGCTGGACTACGGACTGGGAACCGAAGGACGATTAACATGTTTGATGGGATACACCAGCTTACATGGCCAGAAGCCAGGAGTGAGTTTCTATGTCCCTCCTCATCCTGCTTAACTTCCACGTCCAATCCCGATATGTGTCTTGAAGTAAAGTGATAGTAGGTAAGATTTTACCTTAATGGAAGGCTATTTTGGAGAATATATATGGGTGGATTACGACGCGCAATCGCAATGTAAACCGTGATTCACACTGAAGCGAATCTTGGTCAATGTGATCACTGGGACCATAGCCGAAGCAGATGGAAGTTGGGTGTTGCCCATCCGCGAACGCCGCGCGCCACGACGCGTTTCGATCTCATTTGGTCTCATCGGGTGGGAATATGAGGTCTTGAACCCGTGACAATTAGAACAGTGGTCGAAACCTCTACCCCATCGGCTACGGGATCACGACAGACAACACGTGGCACAACGGTTAATGACTGATTGCGGGGTATGTTGGAGTACATGTTGTGGGGTTGGATTGCGACGCCTAATAACAACGTGGAAAGCGATTCATATTGAAGTGAATCTTAGCAAATTCGATCAAGAGGACTTTAAACTAGGAAGCAGATGCACATTGGCTGTTGCAAGCCGGAGAACACTGCTGCGGCCGTTTGCAACATGAGAAGTGTTAAGTCAATCCTCGTGTAGTAAGTATTTAACTAGTATTTATTCACACAGCTGTTTCATGTCATCATTAAATCAATAAAACGCAGAGCGGTACGAGAGAAACCATACAAACTTAAAAGAAAACGAACTATGGTTGGCGGCATCCGGTTTCGGATTTGCCTGTCACTGTGGCAAGCCACAGGACGCCTGCGCCTACAGAGGGACCATAGGTGACTTGCGCTGCACCACTCACAGCTCCAACCACACACCCCATATCCAGTGTAAACCCGAAGGAATAAGACCGAGAGGCACGCGGATGGGAGCCACGTTTCATCAACGGAGCCGGCCCACACTCTTTCACAGCAAACACAAGCACGCTGTAGTTGGGGAATCAACCGCACACAAGGCGGTGGCAGGACCGTAGTCCGCTCCACACTGAGCGCATGGAACCACTCATCGAGCCTAGCACGATCACAAAGAGCGTACACCTCGTCCTCTCCAGCAACGATCAACTGTCTCCTGGAGCCAGTATGGACGAGGTAGTGGGTAATAGACAGGTAGGCACCTTGTCAACATGCACATCAAGCGCAGTCACATCGGGGATATCAAGCAACAGCCAATCACTTGAGAGAGAGAGAGAGAGATAGATAGATAGAAAATAACTCGATTAATGCATAAGGAAACGGCGACATAAACCTTAAATTAATGAGCATACGAAATAAGTTGTTTACAAGCGAATCCCAGATAAGTTCACGAGGTCAGAAAGTATACTTTACGGAAATGTCACGAACACGAATATGTTATGGAAACCGAATACAATTGGCTTAAGCAAGGTGTGCAAGTTAATGGAATAGAGTGCAGTTGGACATTTATATGAGAAAGAAATGCATTAGGGCAAAATTGAAAACCCGCCACCTGAAATAAAGTGACTTGGCATGCAAACACGCGGTTAGTAAATCGAATGCAGTGTACCTACAAACGCTGCGCCGGTTCTGCCTACGTTCTCTGCAGGACCCGTCGCCGCTTCTGGAGTGGTCTCGAGTGGCCTCGCTCATGGCTCACTAGGCCTGCCTGACTCAGGCACTCACGACCGCATGTGCTACAGCACCATGCGCTCGATGTCGATGGAGTACAATCCATCGGTGCTTGCCGCTTCCACACTTGCCGCTTCTTCTCTGCATGTGTGAGGTCTTTCTCCCGCACTTCGGCAACTGCCTTCATGATTAGATCGCGTTATACACGCTGATCTACCGCTTTCGATTCCCACGACCTGCGATCAAGATTAGAACGTGAGACGCTCACTTTGATCATGTCCTGGTAAGGTAACTTTGGTTTCCCCACGTGCCGCTTCCCAATACTCAGCTGACCGTATAAAAGTTGTTTCGGTATCCGAGTCGAATCCATACGGCTCACATGACCGAGCCACCTCAGGTGTCTCAGTAAAAGTATGCAGTCCACTGCATACATTCCCGCTTCGGCGCAACACCGTGTCTGGCAAACTTGGTCGCCCCATCCGATGCGCAAAATTCGTCGCAGACACTGCTGATGGAACCGCTCGAAATATCGCACATCCCGACGGTACATCGTCCACGTTTCACTGCCGTATAGAAGAACGGACAACACTATGGATTTTTACACCATCATCTTCGTGCCAATGGTAAGCTGATGGTTGTTCCATACTCGGTACTCTAGCTTCCTGAATGCCGCTGCTGCCTTCGACACGCGAATACGCAACTCAATATGTAGCTGCTGATCAGTCGACATCATACTCCCAAGGTAGCAGAAGCGTGAGGTGGTTTCCAACACTTCAGCACCAGTGCTGATTTGCGGCAATATTGAAGATTGCACCTCCGGTGAAGGCTGAAAGAGACAGACAGTTTTGCTTGTGTTGATAGTGAGTCTGAATTTGGCCGCTGTCGCAACCAGAGCACTAGTCATGTGCTGTAACTCATCCGCGCTGTGTGCAAACAACGCACAGTCGTCAGCAAACAGCAACATACGGATAGTTGTTTCACAGACTAGAGTTCTCGCACCGAAATGACGGATGTTCAGCAACCTACCATCAATACGGTGCTCCACATGAACACCGTAAGCACAAGTGGCATCAAAAGCACAAGACAACGTTGCATGAAGATATACATTAAACTGGACAGGAGCTACGACACAGCTTTGCTTCACACCAGAGACAACTGCAAAGTCATCCGAGGTCTCTCCACTCAGCTGCATCTTCGCTCGCATACCGCTGTGCAGACATTCAATTAAACTTACAAAGTTAAGCGGGCAACCAAACTTATCCAACACCAGCCACAATGCCTCGCGGTTCACCGTATCAAATGCCTTGGCGAAAGCAACAAAAAGCGAGTACAATGGCTGGTGTCGTTCTCTGCACTTCTCCTGCAACTGACGAGCCGCAAACACCATATCTATAGTGCTGCGACCCGAACGGAATCCACACTGCTCTTCCGCCTCGTCAGTCAGGTTGTGGAACCTAACGTGGCGGAAGAGCAGTGTGGATTCCGTTCGGGTCACAGCACTATAGATATGGTGTTTGCGGCACACACACGTACCGTGCCTTGCAAGCAGTTACTGGAACGGAGATGGAAAAGTCTCCGAACATAAAATCGTTCTTTTCATCGAAGTGACACTAAACCGTAAAAGGGAGGTGACAATTTGCATGACGCAACGATTGATCCAGTTGTCCTGGGGTGCTTTTGTACCTCCGGGACCACTCATAACTGACATTCCAATTGTTTGAGGTCGATCAAACTCTGCCACCTGATCTAGCAAGTTGGAGTGAGGGTGGTTCCTAGTTCTAAAAAATATTGTGAAACCGTCTGTTCTTACGCTCACGTTGTTTGAGCAAAGGCTGGTTGAAAACCCTAATCGTTCTCCTGTCCGTAGACAAGAGAAGGCCTAGACAACTTAACAGTGCCCTGCCCACACATTATAATAGAAATATGATGTTCTGGCTGTCAAAGAGGATAATCAACCGCACTCTATCTACATCATCGACTGTCACCGCGCCCGTATTCTCGTCTTGTTCTTCGCCCTCTTACGATTTTTCATTCTTATGGCCCGAACACAACTTCACTTATCCACCCTGTATACCCCAAAATTCTTGCCCATTCCCACCTTGTTATGAACGATATTTGCGATGGGCAGGGAGAAAAACGCAAAGCTTAAATTGTGAAGGAAATTACAGGAAACTTCAAATGAGCATAATTTGGATGAAAAAGAACGTTTACGATAAGGACAGAACAATCTTGAGTATAAAAAGCACGAACGGAACCACCAACAGCCTTTCACTGGAAGCTGCTCACCTGAGCCATCCTCAAACTCCATCTGCCTCAAGAGTGCGAATTGTTGACGTTCAGACATGGGTACGTGACCCCTAGATTTTGGGCCAGGAGGGTTGACTTGTAAAGTTGCATCCTCTGTACGTTTCTTCTTGGAAAAATAGACCACTACAAAAAGGAATGCGAATGTAAACGCCAGAAAAGTTAGCAAAGAGAAACAGAATACCGAGTGATCAAAAACTGACCGTCATCATCTCGACTGCGCCGCCTTTCCTCCTTCATTTTGCTGCGTCAGGTAGATGTGTGGTGTTTCACAAGTGTATTGTACAAATAGCAGGGGAGGAAACCAGGGGTGGGATTAGAGTCACATGATCCATTGATAAGCACTTTAGCGCTTGGGAACACACACATGACATCAGGCCATTCGGTACACTGCAATGGCTTCAAGTTGAAATTGCTGCAATCCAGAAGGAGACAATGGGAAAACGCACATCTACACAAGTACAGTCTCAATGTGGTCAAGAATAATCCTGCAAACAAGATGATGAAGCAAGGGTAAGCAAATGGAATAAGCATGCACCGGGAAAACAAGTTACATAATGTAAACGGGAAAGCGATAGTCACAAAAGATGCAGCGTTCAACATTTTAAAGATTTGTTGGGCATCCAGTGTACGCGCAATTCGATCCAACGGTTTCTTCAGTGTTGTATGTAAAGTAGACAGAAAAAGGAGGCTGAATGTCGCTGGCCCGAGCACTTAAAACGGATTGAATCGAAGGAAAACGGGTAGAAACAACGGGGTCAGAAGTAGGACAGAAAGTACAGAAGAAGGCTGACTGAGAAGTGGAAAGTCGAGAGGGCTCCATGTTGGCCTTGTGATCCTTCAAAAGGAGACAGAACGTTAGTTACCTATACATCATGATCCGACCAACAGAAAGAAATGAGTCATTTGTGAGTAGGATCTAAAAGCAAAGACAACTTGATAGGAGGGTCATTTTGTAGGGATTATTGTGTAAATGGATTGCGACGCGCAATTTCAAAGTGGGCCGCGATTCCCATTGAGGGAAACCTTGGTCGAATTGGACACTGAGACCGTAAGCGATGAAGTAGGTAGATAATCGTTATTGTCCACTAGAAAACGCTGCACACCACAATGCGTTTCGACCTTAGTTAATTAACCAATGACGGTCAAAGCGATCGAAATGACCAAGGTTCATTTCAAAGCGAATCGCCGCAGAGATTGAGATCGTGCCTCACAAACAATGCACACAATGAGTCATCACCATTATTATTATACACGTTAGCTAGAGGTGGGAAACACCTCAGCAACTGTACCGCAACATATAGAAAAAAGGAGAAAAAACGCAATTGGTGCAAGCCGACTGAGCCACCGATAACGGATTGGCATCGTTCCGGCAAGCTATCTGCCGGCTACTATGCAGCAGAAAAAAACTTATAAGTTACTATGCGAAGTTATAAAATGTTAAACAATGAAATCGTGGTTGGAGGGGGAGGCTAAAAGGGATGGGGAGGGACAAAGAAACTCACGGCACGAACGCCACTGAGGTCGGCTCCTTGCCATGTCAGCAAGCGTATCTAGCCAAACGTGTTTATCGTCTTTCGGACCCCAACCATGGAGCCGAGACGCTCCAACTGAGGCTAGCTCCGAAGTGAGGGTCTTCATTCCGCTTGAGCAAGTCATCGCTTGGCCACGTCCCCCTCTTCCTCTATCTACACCCACGATGCGCAAACAACACACGTCGCGAGAGTCGGTGGGCTGGCATGCGTAACACGTGGCCGAGCCATCGGAACCTGGTGCGTGAAATAACGGTGCTGAGCGGTTCATTCCCTTTTCCTGTGCCATAAACAAGGCGTCGAACACGCTCGTTGCTCACGCGGTGTTCCCACCAGATGTGAGCGAAACTGCGATGGCACCGATATTGGTACGTAACTAGCCTCTTTAGGTCCAGTGAGCTAAGGGGCCAGGTTTCACAACCGTACAGTAGGGTCGAACGTACCGTTGCATTGTACACTCTACTCTTCAGGGCGAGAGTGATGTCGCGCCGGCGCCATAAGTGGCGAAGGTTAGCAAAAGCGCCCCGAGCTTTTGCTACACGCACACAATGAGCACTTTAAAATGACTTGCCAATCAGTCATTAACCGTTGTGTCAAACGTTGCTCATCGTGATTTGATGGCTAGAGGAGTAGAGAAGTTCAGACTACAGGTAGCATTCTCGTCCTGCACTCCGACACAAGTTCCGTTGCAATCGTGGGTGAATCCAGCGGCCGCGATTCATACCGTAAGAATACAAATAACAACGGCAAGATAGTGGGGTTAAAGACGAATAAAATGTACAGAAAAGATAAGCGAGAAGGAACTGCGTTAGACTAATCAGAATTAAACGACAACTAACAACCACAGGAAAGAAACCGAGTGCAGGAACGCCACTGACTTCGTGACTGCGCCATGTCTGACACGGTCTCCAACCGTTGGTGTGGACTATCCCGAGGCCCCAGTCAAGAAAAAAGTAACTCAGCCAATTTCTTCATGACTCCATGCCACATCATCGACTGACAACCTCGCGGTTTCAAGCAACTGGGTGCAGCCACGACGTGCAATGCACGCCAAAGATGTCGGTCAAAGGGCATAGAGAAAATATGGCCTAACCAACGGAACTGGTAAACCTTTAATAAACCCTCGAGCGAGGAACCAGGAGGCTTTCTGTCAAAAAGCAACTGGCGAAACCCAGGATTGCTCACTCAGTCGACCAACTAGACGCGAGCAATACTGCGCAAGCACCGGTGGTCAACGACGGCCAAGCGTTTAATGACTTCGCAATGAACTGGTCAGGTCTCAGATCCATACAGTAAGACCGGCCATGTTGCAGCATTATATACTCAACCCTTCACCGGCAGGATAATATCCCACCGACTACATAGATAGTTGAGTCTTTCCGAAAGACGATGAACACGTTTGGTTGGACACACTTGCTGACATGGCAAAGAGCCGACCTCAGTGGCGTTCGTGCTGTGAGTTCCTTTGTCCCACCCCATCCCTTTTAGCCTCCCCCTCCAACCACGATCTCATTATTTAGCCTTATATAATTTTGCATAGTAATTTTTTTGATACACAGTAACCGGCTGGTAGCTTATCGGGATGATGCCCATCCGTTACCGGTAGCTCAGCCGGCTTGCACCAGTTGTTTTTTTCTCCTTTTTTCTATGTATTGCGGCACAGTAGCTGAGGTGTTCCCCACCTCTGGCTAACGTGTATGATGATAATGATAATGAGTCTTTGGAAACTCACACAGGTTTTGCTGATATGCGAAGTAACTTTCTCAGTGAGGTGATATAGCTACCGAAGTAATTGTACCGAGACACCACTTCCAGTGGTTATTCAAAAATAGCTAAAGTCGGAGCTGTGTCGGTCCAGTCTATAACAGTACTTTGCAAAGCACATGCCAAAGCGTGCAGCGTTAGCCCAAGTATGTGAAGTAGTGTTTGCATAATCACTGCGTCAGACCCAAGGGGAGCTATGTCGTTCGCATACTCCAGATTTGTCAGTTGGTTGACTAGTAGAACTTCCAACTCGGTAGAGTCTGAAGGGACGGATTCACTCATGATCATTTCAATAACAAAGTTGAAGAGGAAAGAAGATGTGGGGCAACCATGATGAACCCTACCTGGCGTGGAAAGCTCAGGGGACAGTTTCCCGCGAACTCTTACACAGCCTCGGGAGTCAAGGTAAAGACTGGGTAATTGATAGTAATTTAGTTGGCACGCCCTTCATGAATAGGCAGTGCCACAAGCTGGTGCAGTCAAACAAGAGTCCAAGGTAGTTTTCAAGTCGAGAAAGGCCACCATACTATGTCGTCTGTATGCTGCATAGAACGAGTGATTAATAAGTGTCTGCTGGAGTGACCTTTAGAGCTCCCTAAATAATCAATTTTTGTACCCATGGCCCTCCCAATTAGACACATTTTAGATAACTTTCGATCACTCCGAATGTTTGTTACAGCGCACCCTTACCGTGAATGCAATTTTCCTGGTTGCAAATATCGTCAACACTAAGAGGAAATCGATTCCCGAATTGTAAATACGCAATACTATCGCCGTTAGGCTAAACCGAAAATGTTTTTGAATGACCAAAAGTTGTCCAATTTGGACGGCCAGGGGCACAAAAATTAATCACTCAGGGCGCTCAAATGGGCATTCGCGCTGACTGAACATAACATGTTACTAAAAAGTAAAGCCTTTTAGGCAAAGAACGGTGGTGTTAAAGATGTACAATCTTACTTAACAACATATCTGGAAATAGCACGCCATTTATTTTCATATTAACTTTGTGCCTCTGCGAGTGACAAAAAAAGGCACAAATGGGACGGTTGGTCGTTCATCTGTGCGGACAGGGGGTGTCACTGGTTTACAACGTGGCGAAGAGCAAATATGTGATCGATACAACCACGACCAAGGCGGAGGCAGCCTGACTTTAAGTAATTCTGTTCTTACGAAGACCAGTAATTCGCCGGAGGATGATGCCTGTGAGAAGTTTGGAGGCAACAGAAACAAGGCAAATACCTCGATGATTATCGCACAAAGGATGCTGACCTTTGTTGAAGATGAGTACGACAGCTGACAGTAGCCAAGCTGATGAAAACTCTAGTGTTCTAAAGCGAACTACATAGAGAAGCAAGTCTAGTCAACAAAGAGTCACCTCCAATGTTCAGCAAAGATTGACGTCCCCCGGTCCAGGAGCCTTGTTTCGATTCAACACGGAAAAATCAGATCGAACCACTTCAAGGTAGTAGGTGTGACTCCTACTTCTCACGTCCCCTCAGATGACTCGGCAAGCGGTAGTGTTGCAACAGGTATGCTGAATTGCTCTTCGAAATGTTCTACCCGACGGGCTACTCGTCGAGGCTGAGAATGGATCAACTGTCCATCTTTCTCAGCTATTGGTCCGCTAACTGATGGTTTTCTCGGACGCATGATCCGAATGAGCTAGAAGAGAACTCGGATGTTCCCATAGCAGTTGCTTTCTCCATCACATGGGCCATTGACATTTACCAAGGTTCCCGGTAAATGCGAAGAATCCTTGCCAGACCTCGGAGTTACTGTCACGCTGAAACTCAGTGCCCATTGGAATCTGCTTCCGCGTCTCGATCAAAATGATAAATGCCACGTTTACGACGTCTCAAGTTGGGTGTACACCAGGCGTCAAAGGCATTCTTCATGGCACAATTGAGACGATCTTAGTCAGCGTTCGGTTCATCAGTCACTGACCTGACCTGAGCCAAGCTGGTATTAGTAACTCCTAACCGGCTTATCCGAGGGGCTTTAGCCTTCGAAGTTAGCGTGTTCAGTGCTATTTGACACCGACGTCATCATCATCATCATCATCATTATACATGTCAGCTAGAGATGGTAAAACACCTCCGCTATTGTACCGCAATACATAAAGGAAATACATACTTACATACAATACATAAAGGAAAAATAAATACGACAGTTGAATGCCAGCTGAGCTACCAGCAAC